GCACACGACCTTAGAACAACGCGATTAAAAAATCAAAAAGAAAAAAGGGTTATTTTTGTTGCACAGTCTTATCAATTCTGAATTATATTTTAAGAAAGAGATCTTTTAACTAAACTTAAAAGTAAGTTATTTAATAATTATAATTTTTTATTAATTAATTTTTATTTTTTTTATTAAGTTTCACATATTTTCGAATGATATTTCTGCATTAAAAAAATTTTGATCTACTAAAATCTATATGATACACTTCTTGAATTTAGTTTTTAGAGTGATCTTTATTTAGTAACAATAAACACTTTCAAGATTTTCATTGATATTTAAAAATAAAAAACAAATTAGAGATTATCGCACAGCAATTTTATAATATGTACAATGTACATATAATCAAAATAAAAAGTAACGATATACATAACTAATAATCAGAGAAATTCATTAGTTTAAAAGATCCCCATCGAGCACAAGAAGCAGATATTTAGCTTTGAAAAAAATTAACTATAGCAAGACGTTATCCTCTATAAGTTCTTATCCATTTCAGAGTGTCAACCATCGATTCTGTTGAATTGTGATTTTATTACGCTCTACTCTTGATTGTATAAACTTTTACTTTTAAATATAAAATAAAGATGATCCTTTAAAACATGAAACTCGACTTGATCCAGCAAAGATCATAAATGATTTCTACAATATCTCGTATACATATATGTGTGATCATTCTATGGATTTGGACTTTTTTTAAAATAACAAGACCAGAAAAGAAAAATTAAAATTTATATCCTGAGATAAAAATATTTTTATTTTATAAAGAAGGCTTATAAACCAAAATTTCGGCCAATTTAGAAATGATGACCCTACTATTCGTGAGCTAGAATTTGCACAAAGCCAAATTCTGGGAAGACTTTTCAAGGTACCATAGTACATTAGGACGAATGACATCCTCAGGGACCTCAAGATTGATCCGATCAAAAAATATATAGAGGATAGAGCCCCGAAATTATTTATGAAGACTAACAGTAACTGTACCAGTAACTGTCCAAAATCAATTGCATTTACAAAAAATCAATGTTCGATTTGATATTTTTGAAAATGACGTAGATACGACACATACCGTCAATTCTGATTGCAGGAAAAAAAATTATGGCCAATTTTTGTATGAAATTGAAGTTACAGATGTCGGAGATATGTAGTTTCAAAACCATAGTGTCACAAGCCTATTATTGCTTTGATGTAAAAGTAATTTTCCGGATGCGTAATTTCACATAATTTGAGTAATTTTTTGCTACAGGTTTTTATTTGTGATGTTTGAAAAAGATATCGTTTATAAGGATAATGCTGAAACTCTCAACAATTTGAAATACTTTAATGAACATTAAAGTCAAGCTATAGCCAAGCCAATATATACCGACAAGTCATCACGAATTACCTCAAAGGGATCCAAAACTAAATGATATTATTCTTTCATACATATATACATATTCAGATCAGTTCAGATATATATATATAGTTACTATGATATAGTTACTATAGTTTTTATTTAAGATTTAAAAAAAAAACTCTAATATGGATAGTGATGGATATTAAAATTTGTATGATATATAATCACCGAAAACTGAACCGATAACTGAAATGTGGACAAAGCTAATATTTAAGTTGATGTTTCGCTCAGATGTCGCAGTACTGAAAACACTTATAAATCTATTATCTTAAGTTTAATACTGCAATTTTAATTTTATTACTTACTTTTATTACTTATTATTACTTAATACAACTCTGATAGGCTTAGATTTGAAACTAGCTGTCATACTAGTTAATATTTTAAATAAATGTTTTTATAAGAAAAACTTTCTTATATGTTAACATAATATCACAAATTAACTATAACTAGGGTGAAGGCTAAGAACTCCTGGGAGCCAATATACAAGGCAACGCTTGTGAGCGCAGTTAACCTAGAAATGTCAGCACAATCCTTGTCGTTCTCAATTAAAGTTGTCACACAGTCTCTATATGGCACCCTTAAAAAATTACTTCGTACCCGCATACAGCATACAACGTATTCCATCCTCATGACTTTGGGTTCCACAAAGGGTTTGACATCTGTTATGTTAAATCAGACGCAATGAAAGACGTAATGAATCTTAAGAAATAGCCACCGAATGTTGATATGCATCCAAACGAATAAGGGATCATGATTTACGGATATTCACCTGAAATAGCTAAGCCCTCAATAGGGAACGTTTTTCGATGTACCTAGTGATGTCCTCAATAAATGTAAGATTGACGTAACTGTTATCCAGAAAAATCGATAGACAATGCAGGGCTGCTCTAAGAGAGCGACATCTTCTACAGCTGTCATACAAATATACTTCAGTTTGGATACGATTTTATGGTTAGCAAGAGACTTCAAATTCAGTCCGATTTCCATTAGCAAACCAACAACTTGCTGCAATACTTAACAAATTAACATTTGTTAACATCACTCTAATTTGCACTCATGTGTCAACAAAAGAACATTTTCCCGAAATTCGGGAATATTTATTATCGATGTTCCATCCATAACGTTGGACCTTTAACAGACCGAATTTAATTTTAATATGGTGGTTATATAAAAACATAACTATTTTAATGTAAGATACTGTTTTTAATGAGTTCTCAGTAAATCTGTGCAAAGGGTGTTAAAACTTCAGTAAAGTAAAAACAATTTTCTAGTCTTTATCTTTCTCTGACCACAAAATATAAATGACTCTTAATTCCTTACCAACTTGTATGTGTTTTTTAAGATTTCAAAGCTATCAATCTTTTTCCATAATTAAAAACTTTTATATGAGAATTTTCTATGCTTTTAAGAGCACATATATGTATTTGTATATATTATATTTACTGCACATATAAATATATTTTATATGCCTGTCCATTTAAAAAATATCTTTTTAATTTTCTTGTTACTTAGTGACTTCGAAAGAGATGTGCCGAACGTTTGCCTTGTTTAGTTTAATTTTGAAATTGCAGAAACCAACAATAGATAAAAACCGCAGACTTACATTGAAAGTAGAGTGGAATGGAAAGCAATTAACTAAATGAAATCATTGGTTTCAACAACTAATTTATTAAATCTCAATGTGGCGTTCCAACAAAAACGAGTACTAAAAATGGTTCTTTAGAGGCAGTAACTGAAATCTGCCAGCAACGATTCAATTACCATACAGTTGTGGCACTATGTAGTGAATAGACTGCTCCACTTACTACTTAATATAAATATTAATATAATATTGTAAGAATGATAACGTGTTGAAGATGGGGAACGGAATTTCCCTTATCAAGAGTTGACAGTGCTGGTATTTATGGCATTCACACATATATCACAAAAACAATTTAAAAATAAAAAGAAAACTAGATTGGCAGATACTACTATTCTGTGATATGACGCTAATGGTCAGGTTTATTGAAAGTGCCCACTGACGATGACCACACAGAGTGCAAGCCACAAGTCCCCATAATTGAATTAAGTTTTACTTCAGTGATTATTTCAAAAATGTCATTTAAACTTTCCACAAATGAGTTAAAACTGCTAAAAAAGTAAAAATACACAAAGGAAAATTCTTACACATGAGTAGATGTTTTAATTTTAATAGCAACAGTTTGAGTTGAGTTGAGTTAAGGTTGACCTGTCCAACAATGCATCCATTTTCACCATTGGAAATATGGAAAGGTTAAGCGAAAAAAGACGACTTTGCATACCACGTTGAAAAAAGGAAAAATTTATTGAAAGCATTTTACATTCGGTTGGACTTCAATTTAAATTTAATTCAATGAACAAAGCGAAATTATGGCAGCATAGAAGTTCTCGTGCACAACAGTGTAGCCTTCAGAGTAGCCTTCGTGGGCTGCAGTTCGGTCCCAAAGTATCAATAAAATAAAAATAAGTTAACAATCAAATCAAATAAAGCGAATTGAGTGAAGCCCTGCTGCTGTTGGTTTTTCTATAGTTTTTATTTTATTTTATTTTATTTCATATTATTTTAAAACCTTGCTTTTGTTTGACGAGTGTGTCCTTGTAGTTGATCACACCACACAGGAACAGAAACAGGAAAAGCAACAGCGACATCATCGGCTTCATCGGCATCGACACCAGCGCCATTCGTAATAGCAGCAAATCCTTTAATAAGTAATCATATAACTTAAACTCGTTCGTTGGTTCATTTACTTCAGCTACCAGCTACTGTAGCCATTTTGTGTCCTTTTCAGGTTTTGTTCTCGTTGTTTCACTCGCCTTATATTATTTTAATCGCACAAAGCCTTTTCTATATTTCCGTTCGGCCAGTCGCCAACAACCCACAGCCCACATTTTGCGAACGTTTAGGTTAATTTTACTTTGAAGCGCTATGGGTCCATTCATGCATTCACTGAATTCATTCAACTGACAACGGCTTCTATGCTTCCTAGCTAAATGCCTCACAACAGAGTCCATCTTACTGTATTAACCATTGAAGTGTGTACCTATGTACGGTGCGAAGCTAAAAGGGCTTCTATTTCTGTGCTCGCAAAGGGAAAGACTCTGCGCCGCACCACTTCCGTGCTGTGTTCTATCGCCACTCAGAACAAAATGGTCTAGATAACATTTCCCGTGCTGGAATTCCTTACCATTTCACTTATCAATTCATTTCTTTATGACACCAATTCAATTCTACGCACTTCATACCATTTTCTCTGGGCTTCTATTTGTATTTTTATTTGTTTAATGGTTAATTGAATAAAGGAAATTGTTCAGTTATCGAAGCAGTAAAATTAGCTGGTTAACATCTCTGCGTTTAGTTACTTGCGTTCGTAAGTACTTGCTTTAATAGATATTAAGGAAATGATGTAGAAAGCCACTGATGCATCGTTTATGATAAATTATTAATAAGTTATAATCAGTTCAAGTACGTCTATTGATAACACTCTTATCCAAAAAATCACAGTCATAACTCATAAACAAACGTCCATATTAAAGAAAATGTATATTTTATCTTGATTTGACCTTTAAAAATATATCTGGAAATAACGTAACGTTAATTCTTATTCAAAGTTTCATAGAATAGTTCAAATTTCGCAAGAGCATTTAGTTGAAACTTTCAAATTTACCAAATCTAGAATGAAACTTTTTAAATTAAAAAATATTATAAATAATAATTATCTATATTAACGTTCCTTAAAATATCAGCTATCGGATCTGAAGTATGAAAATACCAAAATATTCTAAAATATAAAAAGACCAGATGTCGGTTTTGAAGTATGAAGGAACTATTTAATTACGATATTATTAGAAAGCCCATGAAACTATTCTCAAATAATAGCAGGGGTTTAACTAGGAATAAATTATTTTAAAAGTAAAGGCACTTAATATGAGAATAATTCTATTTAATAGGTGACAAAAATGTAACTATCCAAATACAGTACTAAAGCAATAGCGGAGTATGATAGCAATGATAGTGCAATAGGTGGGTGCAAGTTTTTCACCAATAAACCACAGAAGTTGTACACCGATGGCACTATTTCGCTACCCGAAAAATCGATAATATTTTTTGTCTTACAAGTACAGCCAAACAGTATACAGAAAAAGTAAATGCATTTTTTGTCGACTTCAAAGCAATGTTTGATTCAGTAACAGAAACGCTTTATTTTATAAACTCTGTAGTGTTAGATGTACCATGGCAGCTTTACTATACGCAACACACCCGTAGAGAAGTGTCGGTCTGATTATCTGGCTGTAGATCAGCTTTCTGTTCTTAATACTAAGATTATTGTGTGTAAAAAGTGACCGTAAGCTCTGCAGTGTTTTCACACAGCTACTTCTTTTGTTTAGTATGTGCTTGCACCTATTTAACGTGATCCATAGGTATAAGATGATGTCTTCCCAATTTATAACAATGTTGCCAACTCTCACTCTCAGTGGATGCTGCCTGTGTTTACGTGTTATATAAAGGGCCTTAGTTTTCTCGTTGTTAATTATAATTTTCCGTTTCTGAATGAATTCCAGGTTGGTTATATTTCTGGCATGTTTATCGGAATATAATATGCATGCGTCATCTGGGAATAATGCTAGCACCAAGGGACTTAACATTAGGATGTCAGACGTAAAGATATTGTACAAATAGGGGGAGAGCGGCTGTCCTTGAAAAACACCAACTTCTATTCTTCGGACAGAAGAGAGGGTACCGTTGAATCTTACAGACCTTGCCAAATGCCTTGGTAATGTCAAAAGTTGATTCCCTTCTGGTCAGAGCTGACTGTATCATCTGAGCCGTTCGCACCAGTTGTATTACTACTACTACTACTACTACTATATGAATGTTTAAGATCAAGTATAAGTTATTGCTGGGTTTAAAAATTAAATTTAAACGAAACTACTTTATTCTTATATTCTTCAAATGTAGCATTTTTCATAAATACAGTGTCTGACTTTCCCTGTGAGCTATTATGCGTTTTAAATTGTATTGCTATCACTTAACAGCTAAATTCTTGAAAGACAATATTGCCTATGGATAGAATAAGATCAATAAATACAGTCATCAGTACAAATTTATATAAAAATATTCACATGTATTTACACTAATTTAGTTGTAAATAGCATGCTTTTTGCTTTTTATGTAATATAATAGAAATCTAACTTTATGAGAATTATGAATTGCCAGATATTTTATATAATAATAATACCAGATGTGTAAAACAAATTAAAAGTAATTATTAAAATTACATAACTGAAGTCAATTAAAAATTAAATAGCGTTTATTTTTATTTTGTTTTAAAAATATGTAATTTTTATATACTATATAGTAACACTAATAGAATATTTCGATAATTCTATTAAAGTTTATTTATATGCTTAAGAAATTTAAGTTAAGTTGTTTTACTTATTTGCAAAGTATAATTTTAATAGCATATCAGCCCTTCCACGACAACTGGGACTATATCTCCCACATACTGTTAAAGTTATATTCCATTCTTGTTGTCAACAAAAATCTTCTAAATCTGAATTTTATAAGTTAAAAAAGTTTTATCTTCTTCTTGGGTGCGAGAGTACTTCCCTCTATAGACATGGATTCGGACGAAAAGATTCTTCTTCACGAAGACAGCAATATTTCATGTTCCGAATCAAATCATAAAAAAGTGTCAAATGTTCTGATGTCAAAACTTTTACATGGGAAACTTAGAAACAATAATACCTGAGTTATGAATAGGAAACTACTGTCGATGCGACGTGTCGTTCCGTTACCAATGATGTCGATTTTACCCAAAATTTCCAACATTTTTAAAAAAAATGTTAATATGTTTTCAAAAATTTATCACAAAAAAAAAATTAGAAAAACTTTATTGGAGTGACATCTCCAGTATGGAGAATATATATTTGTTTTTTCAAGAAGTCTTATTTCTTAAACTTCTTTATTTTAGTGACGTCATTCGTGGTTAAATTTTAACTGTCAAAAGTCCATGTTTCGAGAGAAAAATTCTCGTTAGCGACGACGACTACCGCATCCAGCGGCTTCGCTAGAATGGTATGTCATAAGAATGGGTGAAGATACTCTAGCGAAAAAGGTGTTTGAAGTGCCAGTTTGAGGAAGAAGGTATGGAGGTAGACCGTGTCTCCGAGGGTGTTATCAAGTTGAGGAAACACTAACCGCACTTGATGTAAGAGAATGGAGAAGGTGGGTATGCAGCGGAGGGAGCTGGAGCGCAGCGCTGCGTCAGTTCTAAATCCGATAATGGATTCTATAGCTTTTTAAGAAAGTTAATAGAAGTCTAAACTTCTGTACTTAATTTTTTAATTGTACATCTACTATATATTAATCCGTAAGAGTTACGTTTTACGACTCTATACATATGCAACTAATTAAAGATACTTCTATGCATAGAGATATCGTTGATGTAATTAGAACTTAAAACTCATGATTGTTCAAATATTAACATAAAACATTATTTACTAAAAACCAAATTATAACTTAAGTTAAGCTAATGTTTTTTTTTTGTATTTTTTTTTAATGCAGTCATATGTCCATGTTAAACTCACTGATGTTTCCTAGGATATTAAAACTTTATTTAATCGAAACTATTGCAGATTTTATTTAGACTAGTATAGAAGATGCTACGAATTTTGTTTTCTACAATATTTAATTTAATTTTTTTAATAACTCTGGAAATTTCGTTTACAATAGATCTGCAAACGAGTGTCTCTGAAGGATCATGTTATTTGATTAGGAACCTTAGAAGTTCTTTAAAACCATTTATTAGTTTTTACTTGTTTATGATTTCAACTAGATTTTCTGATGTCGTTTTTGTCAGATGATATTTATTATTTGCATAGTTGAAGCTTTTTAATAGAGTTCATTGTTGAAATTTATTCGCTTTCTCAACTCGCCAGAATAGTTTTTAAATTGAATATGGAACGACGCATTTTCACAGGAAACCGGAATAGGCACGTCTACGCTTGAATGGGGAACATAAATCGAATAAAACAATTTAATTATTTAAATGAATGCAACAAAAACTTTCGTTTGGAAAACAAAAATCGAAACTGACGAAAAACAAACAGTGCCTGAAAACGCTTACCGCTTACCACTCACCACTCACCGCTTGTACCGCTGCGCCACCATCAGAAAAACATCAAAAAGTTTTAAAACAATTTATGCGAAGATTTTCTTCCTATTACACTCAGTCTTATTGAATTAGTGCGGAGCACAACACAAATAGAAGAAATGCTAAAATGTATGGAACGATTGAGGAAAAAACGCAAATTCAAACGAGGCATGAAATGTACCCCACGACATGAGCAGCTTCCACACTGCCACACTTAAAATAAAATTTCAATTTCCTAAATATTGAAATCTGAAAGTAAATAATTTAATTCACTAAATTTTACAAAACAAAAAAGGAACTGCAAATACACACTCGAACCCAGAAGCACAGAAACCAATGACATTACATAGAAAAGCGTAGGGAAGTGATTCCTCCTTCAGAATCAGAAGAATCTCATCGACAGAACCCAGTTTCGTTTTCAAAGCATCGAAGACAAGGAATATGGCTGTCACTTGGTTAACATGAAATTTCGGATACAACATGATGCCACAGTATACAAAACATTGTGTTGTCCTCTTCGCCCTCCTCGTTCACACCATGGAGTATCCTTTTTAACAAGTAAATTTGTGCTGTCGTTGTCGTTTGCTGTACGATTGGCCGTAAGGCATGTGACGCGACG